GTAGAAGTCCCCGGATCATGTCAATCCAATTTTCAGAGAAACCAAATTTCCTCATAACTGCTATCAGAAAGGTCCAGGAAATTCTGTCATAAGCTTTTGCCATATCAAGTTTTATTATAACATTGCCTCCTCTGATCTTCTTGTTCACTCCCTGAGCAATCTCCTAAGCTAATAGGATACATTCAGTGATCAATCTTCCTTTCACAAAGCCAGTTTGATTCTCTGATATAAGCTTCCCAATAATAGGATTCAGCCTTCTGAAAAGGATCTTGGAGATAATCTTGGCTGGAAAGTTACTCAAACTAATAGATCTCAAATCCAAGAAACTATTAGGAGAATTAACTTTAGGAATAAGAACTAAACAAGTATGAGAGAAAAATTTAGTGATCCTCCTGCTATTGAAAACAACTTGAACAAAATCAGTGATATCCTCCTTAATGATATCCCAACAGGATTGAAAGAATTTTCCATTATATCCATCCGTTCCTGCTGCACTATCAGGATTTATATTGAAGACAACATCTCTAACCTCTTCTGTATCAAGAATGGCAGTGAGACTTTCATTATTTGCATCAGTTACACATTGAGGAATACAGTTGATGATATCATGATCATTGTAATGGTGATTGGTGTTAAATAACCGTTGAAAGTGATGGACATCAGCGTTGCCAATATTAGCATCCCCCTCAATATAATGGCCTATATGGTCTTTGATTTTAAGAATGTGCAGCCTTCTCCTTCTCCCTCTGATGTTGCTATGGAAGTGTTTAGTGCTAGCATCTCCTTTTTCAAACCAGTTCACCCTAGCTTTCTATCTGAGAATGTCATCCTGCATCCCAATCCATCTAATTCACTCAGCTTGTCCTTTGTTCAGTTCAGTTCTGGTTGTATCATTACTATTCATAAGATCCATTTGTTCAAGGTCCTTCAATTTATTTTCCCAGTATTAAACTTGGCTGCAAACATTGCCAATGTCGTCTTTGGACCATTGAGTCAGTCTTCTGCTCAGCATTTTAAGCTTTTGTTGAAGTCTCTACGGAGGATTTCCATTGACATTATTCCTCCAAACTTCTTCAACTACATGCAAAAAAGTTGGTTGATTGGTCCAAAAATTTAAAACTTGAAGTATTTAGGCCCTTGTTGGTTAGTGTCCTTACATTGAATTAGAATAGGTCTATGGTCAGAGCCAATTCTAGCCAAGTGGTTGACAATATTGTTTTGAAAATTTGGGACCAATCATCATTGATAAAAACTCTATCCAATGTCTTCCATATTCTTCTTCTTGGCTCCCAATTGTTACACCATGTGTATTTTGGTCCAACAAAATCCAAGTTCATCATACCATAGTTATCCATGCAAGTGCTGAATTCTAGACTTTTGTTCATTCTGTGAGGCCTGCCACCTTTTTTCTCATCCGGATCCAGAATGACATTAAAATCACCCCAATGACCATGGACCATTCACTTGAAGATTGGTTAACTCTAGACTATTCCATAGCTCTCTCTTTTCTTCAGGAGTACATTTAACATATACTGCTATGATGTAAAGATCACTGTTGGCAGCCCCATAATGCAATTTGATAGTAAGTTGTTGTTCGTGGTTGTTCAAAATAGTAGTCATGTGGTTGCCTGACCACATGATCCAAATTTAACCATTTGAATTAGAGATACAGTGTTGATAGCCAAGGAACCCTATGCAACTTTCTATTTGATTAGTACTAACAAAAGGTATGGAGATCAATTTTTTAGCCTTGATAAGGCTTTTTTTGTATTCACTCCACTAATATTCCAAAAAATGGCATTTATCATTAAAACAGTTCAGGCTAGCATGAGTGTCCCCCTTTAGGAGGTGTAGTATCTTTGCTTTTGTTCTTTTTTCCTTTTTTCCATTTTTTTTTTCTTTGGAACATATGATCTGGAGAGATTCGTCCTTTGAATCAGTTTGTATTTGATTTTCAGGAACCATTACTGTCACCCTATTAGGAGATGTCACCTCAATATGTTGACTAGTCACACATATATATATATATTGTTTGAATTTGGATTCCATATTGAGATCAACTACCATCTCAATCCCAGGAAGATTTCGAATTCAGAAGGCACACTAGTAGATTCATTGACATAATCACTTAAGTTGAGGGCTCTCTTTTGCATTTTTCTGTTTTCAGCATCTACCCTCTCACTCGGATTCTCATTTTCTCGAATGGACTCCTGCAGATTCTCCTTTGTTCCACTGTTATTGATATAGACTTTTTGCTCCTGTTTGTCTAGCTTAGATCTCGAAGGCAGTTGATCATTGGCAGACTTAGTTTGATCATTAATTTCCTTAGCTTGATCGTTAACAACCTTAGCTTGATCGTTAACAACCTTAGCTTGATATCCCTGTTCACAAGCATTAGCATTCACGACATTATCATTAGTACTGTGCTGGTTCAGGTTTTGAAGGGCCAAACATATCTCTTTGTTATGATTCTTCCTCCTGATAGAGTAAGCAGAAAGGTTGAAACTTGGTTTGAATAAGACTTTGGCTTTCTTCTTAGGAGCTTTCTGTGTTTGCTTTTTTTGGTTTTTTTCCTAGATCTCTCCCTGATGTTGCTAGATGGTAGTTGCAAGTGTTTATCAGATTTAAAATCACTCTTTTGCATTCGAGTGATGCTGTTATCAGTCTGCTCAGCATTAGCAGCAGTTTCAGGTTCAGTAGCTTTAGCAGATTCTCTATTAACCAATCTAACACATTCTCTATTAACAGCAGGTCCAGATTTTAGATTTTCACTCTTATGCCTTTGAGTGATTTTGTTTTTAGACTATACATCATTAACAGTAGTTCCAGATGCAGCAGATTTAACAGACGCAGTTTCTATATTTTGATCTACCAGTCCAGCAGTTTCTCAGTTAACAACATTTCAAGAATTTCCAGCCTTATTTTCTTTATCTTGATCAACCAGTCTAACACATTCTCTATTAACAGTAGGTCCAGATTTCAGATTTTCACTCTTTTGCCTTTGAGTGATTTTGTTTTCAGGTTGTCCATCATTAAAATCAGTTCCAGATGTAGCAGATTCAACAGACGCAGTTACTCTATTTTGATCAACCAGTCAGCAGTTTCTTTGTTAGAAGCATTTCCAGACTTATTCCATATTCCAGATTTTGATCCCCAAATACCCTGTTATCCTCATTCTGATTTTCAACAGTCTTTTGGACCTCTAACTCCCTATTTTTAGCAGCTTTTTTTCTTTCTAAATCTCTACAATTGAATAAATTATTCCCCAATTTTCGACAGAATTTGCAGTATCTAGGTACACCCTCAAATTCAATTTTTTTCCCAAAGCCTTTTTGAGGTGCATTGTCATATATTTGACCAACATAGACAAAGTTTGGTTGTTCCTTAAGCAAATCGATTGCAACTCTTACTTTGGCCATACTAGGCCTTGTTCTTTCTTTAGTAGCTAAATCCATTTCAAGGGGAGTATCAATTGCACTCACCACTTATTTAACATAATTCCAAGTGTGCATATGAGAAGGTAAGCCAGGCAAAAGAACCCATACCGGAGTGATAGGCAGGTCTTCCTCCGGCTTGAAATCCTGCGACCATTTTTGAAGCCACATTTGTTGCCCTTCAATTTCGATAACTCTTTTAAACCAGACAACATTAAAATCTTCTTCATTAGTGAAATCAAGGAACACATTATACATATCATAGACCCCAATCTTGACAGTCCTTAATCGATATTAATTTCTTGAATTTTGACCTAATTTTGTCAATTTGGAGCCTTGGTTTAAAGAATCTCCCGACGATTGTGAGTTTGCACTCCTCAGCCATAACACCATAATAATCTGCAGCTTTGAATAGGACCGCCGACATGCCGTTGTGTATGGTATGAGTCGTTATTACAGCTTCCCTTCCATGGCAAATTGAAGAGATCGAAGCACTCAATGAAGAGATGACCTTTGTAGAATAGGTCAATTTTGTGCCAATTGGATCAGAGATTTGGTTCGCCATGTTATTTGGAATCGTTTGAACTCCCAGACGTTCCAGAGCGGCGACATCCGGCGGTTCCATCGGATGGCGCGTGGAGGAGACGTAGTTTTATAAAATAGTCGTTGGGTTCAATAGAGGAGAGAGAATGGAGATAGTTGAGTTATTTGTTTTGATTTGGTTTCATTTTTAATTGTTTGAAAGGGTGAGTCAAAAAGTTTCTAAAATGCATCTTCAGACTGGTTTACTAGCTTTGCATGTTCATAGTTTAACAAAAACACATCCCACGCCTATCTGTTTTATCATGAGCCACCGACCCAAAGGAAGAAATGAGAGATTCCAAATAGTTTCCTATTAGTTAATTTTCTTTGTTTGTTTAGTTTTTGAAATGAGATATTATAAAAGTTCTTAGAACGCACGTATACTAGCTTTGCTTGTCCTTAGTTTAACAAAAATATATCTCATGCATATCTATTTTATTATGGATGACCAGCCACCAAAAAAAATAAGAAGTGAGATCTTCCAAATAGTTTGAAATCATCTCCTCCACCGTACTCCCATTTTCTCATCTGAACACATATTATATGGTTCTGAAAGTTATAGCACATAACTTAAAGGGTTTGGCTCCAAAGCATTTCAATTCCACAAGTTATAGATATAGGTAACAAAGGAAGCAAATTTCAGTTATGTAAAATTATTCTATTTGGATTGTCAAGATGATGAGAGCTCCAGGTGAGAAACAATGGAGTTCTGTGATGAGTTCCATGAAAACGGATGAGAGAGAGAGAGCTACAGAAAATATATTGTGTATTCACATTATGCGTGGAAGGTCCAAGATATATACATGTATATATAGACACACGTGTGTCTCACCTCATGCCACAACTACTTATAACTAACTAATGTATTAGTTACAATTATTCACTACTAATACATAAATACATAAAGGTCAATACCACTCCAACAAGTTGGAGGTGAGGATTGCGCTGACAACTTGCTGAGAACCCCACAATGTTTAACTCCAGTCAAGGCTTTGGTGAGGATATTTGCCAATTGAGCATGAGTGAGACATGAGTCAAATCGATCAACCCTTCTTGAGGTTTGGCTCGTAAAAAATGACAATCCACCTCAATGCGCTTGGTCCGTTCATAGAAAACATGATTTCTAGCTATATGGAGAGCTGATTGGATATCACAAAAAATAGTGACAGGCTTTGGAAATGGGACAGTCAGTTCCTCGAGTAATCTGCACAACCAAGTTAGTTCACCAACAACTTTTTGGAGAGATCTATATTCTGCCTCAGCTGAAGAAAGTGAGACAGTTTCTTGTTTCTTGGACTTCCAACTTACAGGACTATCTCCCAAGAGAATTATGTAGCCACTGACTGACCTTCTGGAGTCTAGACAAGCAGCCCATTCAGAGTCACAGTAGGCCTGGATAGTGCAGACTGGATCATTAGAGAAGAAGATTCCTAGTATAGGATCACTTCTCAGATATCGTAACAAGTATAAGGTGGCCTTAAGATGAGGTTCCCTAGGGTCCTGCACAAATTGGCTAAGTTGTTGGACTCTATAAGCAATGTCCAACCTTGTATTAGTAGGGAAGTTCAACTTTCCAATGAGCTTCCTATAATATGTAGGGTCATTCAAGATAGCACCAACCTTAGCCTACAACTTAACAAAGGGATCAGGAGGGGATGACCGTCCACTGTAGGATATACAATCATATTTTTTTAGGAGATCAAGAGCAAATTTCTTTTGTGAGATGAGAACCCCATCAGCTTTATAAAGAACCTCTAAGCCTAGAAAGTAGTGTAATCTGCCCAGATCTTTGGTTTTGAAGGTGTTATGTAGGAAACTTTTCAAATGATTGACCTCTTCCATGTCTGTACCTGTGATAAGCACATCATCGACATAGATAGCTACATAGTGGATGCATCTATTCTTTTTGTAAAATAAGGAATAATCATGGAGGGAATGTACATAGCCTCTAGAGTATAATGCCTCGATAAGCTTGGCATACCATTGCCTACTAGCTTGCTTCAACAGTAAAGAGATTTGTTCAGTCTACAAACAATACCTGGAGCGAGCACTCAAGGCCTAGGGGAATTTCCATGTAAACTTCCTCATGCAAGTCCCCACAGAGGAAAGCATTACTGACATCAAGTTGAGAAATGATCCACTACCTCTTTACGGCAGTGCAAATAAGATCCCTAATTGTGGTTAACTTCACAACAGGTGAGAAAGTTTCAGTATAGTCCACACCAGCTTGTTGTATATACCCCCTTGACTACTAGTCTTGCTTTGAACCTTTCAATTCTACCATTTGTATTGTGTTTCACCTTGTAAACCTGCCTACAACCAATGGCCTTCTTTCCTGGGGGTAATGGAACCAAATCCCTGGTATGATTAACATGCAGGGCCTCAAACTCTTGAGTCATAGCATCCTGCCAAGATAGGGTAAATATTGCCTCTTCTATGAGTATGGCTCATTAATATTGCAAACATTCATCACAAATGAATGACTATCATGAACTAGGGATTCATGTGAAATATGATGATGCAAAAAAACAAAGCAGCAAGAGATGAGGATGAGGTATCATGAATGTATGAGCTTAACTTGGGGATAAAGCAAACATAAAGTGAGAAGGCAAGTGATGTTCTCTTTGAGATCTCATAAGTGTAGGTGTATGCTCAGGTGGTGGAAATTCAGATGAAGAAGCAAGTGGTGGAGATACAGATGGAGAAGCAGGGGAGGATTGTAATTCAGGAGAGGGAGAAGAAAAGGAATCAAGAGAGTGGGAAGGAAAGAAGTCAAGATGAGGAACAGGTGGAGTATTGGTGGTGTCAAGAGAGTCCAGGAAAGGAGCAGAGGGTGGAGAAGGAGCATCATGTGACTGTGGACTAGCAAAAGGGAAGACAGTTTCAGGGAAAACACCATCTCTGGAAACATGAATTTTCTGACTGGTGAGATCAATACTTTATATCCTTTGCTATTGAAAAGGTATCCAACATAAACATGGGGAACACTCCTGGGTTCAAGTTTATCTCTATGTACTTTAGGCACAGTGGGATAGCATAAGCACCCAAAGGATCTTAGATGTGAGTAGGATGGTTTCTTATTGTATAAAAGTTCAAAAGGACACTTATTTTTTAGTAGTATGGTGGGCAGCCTATTTATAAGATAGGTTGCAGTAAGGATACATTCTCCCCAAAACTTCAAAGGCAATTTTGATTGGAAAAGCAGGGCCCTGGCAGTCTCAAGAAGGTACTTGTGTTTTCTTTCTACCACCCCATTTTATTGTGGGGTGTAAGGACAAGTCTTTTGATGAATTATACCTTTGGATTGAAAAAATAGAGTAGCTTCTATGTAAGTGAATTCCAGTCCATTATCAGATCTTATAGATTGAATGGACTTCTAAAATTGAGTTTCAATTAGAGATACAAAGGCTTGGATGATTTGGAGTGCATTGCTCTTGCAACTTAATAGGTGAGTCCATGTGCCTCTACTATAGTCATCCACCATAGTGAGGAAGTATTTCTGATTTCCATTGGTTGGAACATGATAAGGACCCTACAAATCCACGTGTAAGAGCTCAAATGGCTTGGTGGAAATGCTAGACCTTTGGGGAAAGAGCATTCTGGATTTCCTGGCCATGGGACAAATGGGGCAAAGGAAAGATTGCTTAGAAGAAAAAGTGACTGGAATAGTATAAATGCTTCTCATTTTAACAAAAGGGACATGCCCAAATCTGTTATGCCACAACACATCTACATTATTATCATGAGATACGGAAGAGCATTGAGAAAAGTTAAAAGAATGCAAAGAAGTGGACTGTGTCTTATTATCAGTGAACTACTTACAAGTGAAAGAGATTGAAACTATGGAGTATTTACATCATAATGAGAAAGTAGAGTAGAGGTAACAAAAACATTAGAAATTGAGCTACCATGATCCAAGCAATAAGAACATAAGCGATACCGACCACCTTTGATCTTACCAATCACCAGAGGCCTCTTCATTGAAGGGGCCTACAGCAGAGATGAAGAAGTAGGAAAGGCAACCAGAGAGTTTAGATGTGCAGTCATAGAGGAGACAAAAATGAGGTTGAATTTGAAAGCAGGGACAAAGAGAACTTTATGCAAGGTGATTTGAGATGACTACCAACTTCTGTCAGCTTGACCTTATAACCATTTGGAAGTGCAACTAACAGGAGATAACACAAAGGTTTAGTTTCAAGAAAAAGAGATTTGTAGTATGTTGTGTGGTGTGAAGCACCAGAATCCACTATCCATGTGTTAGACATAGTTCTGAAACATTTACAATGAGAATTGCCATGACTAACAGAAGATGAGCAAAGCATAATACCTATAAAATTGATTGCTCCACTACTCAGGCGAGTGTCAGTAGAGTCCTCTCCATTGGTACTTTGAAGGTTCTGAAGTAGGTTTAATAACTAACCATATTGCTCCTTTATGATCCCAATAGTTGCCATATTATGCTGCTTGTCCTGTGAGCTTGAACCATCTTCCTTAACAGACAACTCCTCAATAGTTGCGACATATGAATTAGCCATGATACGCTTCCCTTTGGTATTAACTCTAGGACTTGGAGTGTAGTTCTAGGGACAGTCGTGCAGTTTGTAACATCTATATCTAGTGTGTCCTACAGTTTTGCAATAATCGCAAAAAAGGACGTGAAATTCTGCCTCAAATGGACTGCTGGATCTCGGACCTGGAGAATGTGTGACGCTGGGTCGGGGTTTGGTGAACCAACTATTCGCTCCTCTAGTTGAAGTATCGGGCCCCTTTTTTGCACGATAGTTTGTCTTGAAGTTAGCATTCCCTTGAGTATTAGAATTGGCATTTCCCTATGCATTCACGTGAAGAGAAGTCGACTCAAAAACTAATTGATTGGAGAGTCACATCTACCTTTGTTTCTCATATTGAATGAGTAAGGAAAAGGCTTGTGCTAATAAAGGAAGAGGATTCATCATTAAAATGCTTCCACGTACTACTGTGTACATCTCCTTCAGTCCCAAGCGTCTATTCTACTCTGCCTTGTATAATTTTTCTTTGCCACCATAATTACACTAGCAATTGCACTGTACTTTCATACTTAAGTTACTCAATTTCTCCCAAAGTTTCTTCATTTTTGTGTAATAGTTCGTGATATCAAGAGCTCCCTAAGTCAGATCATTTATCTCTTTTTGGATTTGATACAGTCTAGTACTATTAGTTTGCTCGTAACGATCTTCCAATTATATCCATAATTCAACAATGTCATTTGCATACTCAACACTATCTGCGATATCCTTCGAAAGGGAATTAAGGATCCATGAAGTGACCATATCGTCACATCACACCCACTGGCGATAATCGGCAGACTGAGAATCCGGCCGTTTGCACTCCCCGCTAATAAAACCAAGCTTGTTCTTAACAGATAAGACTCGCATAACACTACGCCGCCATGAGCGATATCCAATTCCATTAAAAGGTGTAGAATCTAGCATAGCCCCAGGGTTATCAGACGGATGAAGGTAAAGAGGGTTGTTAATGTCAACCTAGCGTTAGCAACTCCACCGGCCGCCGCAACTGCACTTGCATGTGTGTTGACATCAGTCGGTCACTCTGATCGAGAATAGCCATCTAAAAATAAGGAGATGAAATTGAACAATAGAAAGTAGAATAGAGGTGAAATCAAACGAGAGAATGTGAACAATTGAGGGAAAATCGCCGACTTACGCGATTTTGGTTCGAAATTGGGGCAAATCAAAATTATCGAAGAAATTAGGGCAAAGGCAAAAAAGTAGATGTGAAAATCGGGAATTTCGGGGATTACAAGCTCCCATGCTTTGATACCATGTCAAGATGATGAGAGCACAAGGTGAGCAACAATGGAGTTCTGTGATGAGTTCCATGAAAACGGATGAGAGAGAGAGAGAGAGAGAGCTACAGAAAATGTATTGTGTATTCACATTATGTGTAGAAGGTTCCAGATATGTACTTGTATATATAGACACACGTGTGTCTCACCTCATGCCATAACTACTTCTAACTAATTAATGAATTAGTTACTACTAATCACTACTAATACATAAATACATAAAGCTCAATATGGATGGAGCTTTAAAAATCCTTTCGATTTTTAAGCCCCATTCATATAGAGCTCGGAAAAATCCTTTCTAATTTTTATATACACTATTGCCACTTAAATCCTAAGGACAAATTTAATTTGTCAAACGGAAAAAGGTGTTTATTTTTTTTTTGTTTCTTTGAACAATCAACACATCCAAATATACATAAAGTTGTAATTGATCCAGGTAATTGCAACTTTTAGCTTTGGCTTGGCTTCAAACCTTATTAATACTAAAAAAAATTCTATTTGTATTGTTAATATTGGCGCTGGCAGCTTTGCCTAATGAGGAACACTTAATAAAAATAACCTCCCCTGATCCTTAAGGCAAGGTTTGCCGGGTGACAGGAATTCTCTAAGGTCAGCTGATCAACAGGCTGACAAAGCACCAACGGCAAAAGTACTCTGCTGGGCCGACTAGAATTGCGTCTGTTTTCTGGGTTTGGAAAAGTGTGGATTTTAAAGAACGAGAATCATATGATATGTTAGGAATCTCTTATGATGAGGAGTAGAGGCTCTAGAGCTTTTTACGCAGGCTGCTATGCTAGTTGTAGTACTGTAGCGCTTTTCTAATATAATAGAAAGTCATCGTCCAATTGGAAATGATAACAAAATGCAGCCTTCAACCCCTCAGCAGCTCCATCACCTTTTTGTTGACTTTATAGACCCACTTGTACCCGAATATTGATTTTTCTAGAGGAAGAGAGACTCAATCCCAAGTAGCAAATGTCACTTAGTGAATCGGTGGATCACACAGTTGGAGATAGAGACAGGGGACAAATTAAGAGTCTGTTTGGATGGGCTTGTTGTAAGTGACTTTTAAGCCAAAAGCCATAAGTTAGGAATTCTAGCTTTTGGCTTTTGGTTTATTTTTGTCATTTTAGCTTAAAAACAAGAGCTGAAAAGTACTTTTTTACTTTATCTAAACACTACAATATGGCTTAAAAGCGATTTTGGCTTAAAAGCACTTAAAATAATCCAATCCAAACGGGCTCTAAAAGTACTCTTTTGGAATCATGTAAGTCAAAGGTCAGGAGCACAATCAAAACTAGCTAGACTTCCCTCTCAACCTGCCTGTAATCCGGTGAAACTGGAAGCAGTCTGATTATTTCCACTTGAGTCGACTTAAGTCTTTCTTTCCTTGTACAGTCTTGGCAGTTCAGTCTATAGTGACAAAGGGAATGTTTCCGCCAGAGGGGTTTGTCTCCATGGAAAAAGTATTCACTATTGCTTACAACGTCGTCAAACAAGTAGGGAATGTATTAGGGTGAACCAGAAAAGTTTTGATAGAGACAAACCGCGATG